ACTCCGTCAGTCATTTTCTTCAGACTAAACAATCCCACTGTCCATCTTTTTCTTTTCCAACTTCCTTCACATTTCATGTTTTCTAGACCTTTTAGCAATTTTTTTTATTTCTCTGAACCTTCTCCAATTTCTCCACATTTTTCCTGAAATGTGTCTAGATCCGGATGCCACAATACTCCAGATGAGGCCTTATCAGTGCAGAGTAAAGTGGAAGAATTACTTTTCATGCCTTGCTCACAACATTCCTGTTAATGCATCCAAAATCATTTGAATATTTACTGTTTGACAACAGTATTACACAATTAGCCCATTTAGTTTGTGATCCAACCTAAACACCAGATCCTTTCCCACAGTACTCCTTCCTAGGCAGTAATTTCCTGTGTTCTATTTGTGCAATTGATTGTTCCTTCCTAAGTGGAGTACTTTGTATTTGTTAGGCTGAATTTCAGCCTATTTCAGACCATTTCTCCAGTTTAAGATTTTGAATTCAAAGTGCTTGCAACCACTCCCAGCCTGGAATCATCTGCAAACTTGTGCACTTTCTATGCCATTACTCAAATCATTTATGAAGATAGTAAACAGAATCATACCCAGGATAGATCTCTGCAGGACTTCACTTAATTTCCCCTTCCAGCTCAACTGTAAATTATGTATTACTACTGAGTATAGCTTTCCAACCACTTATTCACACACCTTTAGGGAAATACAGCGTAAATCCATGGTCACCAACAGGTTGAGTGCGATCGACTGGTCGATCGCGAGGCATCCTGTCTGCCCCGCCCCCATTTCCCTCCCACCCCCGAGAAGCCCCACTACCTACCTCAAAGTGAAAATGGAGGTAGTGTCTGCTTCCCGGGGATGGACAGAAGTCCCGCAGCTTAGTGCCATTTCCAGCGATTCCGGAAGTGCGCTAGCTGCTCTGCCGGGTGCACTGCGGGAGGGAACATTGGCTCCCTGCACCACCCAGGAGGGGTGAGTCAGCCCCGGGGGAGGCACGCGCTGGTTTCCCTCTGGGGACTCTCTGCCTCCACTGGCTCCCCACTGCCCAGACCCCACTCCCCAGCTACAGAACTCTGTCCCCACTCCCCTGTCCCCAGCTACAGAACTCTGTCCTCATTCCCCTGTCCCCAGCTACAGAACTCTGTCCTCATTCCCCTGTCCCCGGCTACAGAACACTGTCCCCACTCCCCGAATCCTGTCCCCACTCCCGTCCCTAGCTACAGAATTCTGTCCCTATTCCTGTCCCCACTCCCCAAACTCTGTCCCCACTGGCACCCTTTCCCCAGCTGCAGAAGCCTGTCCCCACTGACACTCTGTCCCCTGCTGCAGAACCCTGTCCCATGCCCTCCCAGCACCCTGTTCCCTCTTCCCTACCCCCAGCCGCAGAACTGTCCCCACAAAATGTATAATTTTAAATGCTTCATTTAAATGGTCTTTTTTATTCATGCTATTTAAATCTATTTATTTCATAACTATAAACACATTTTAATTTTATATATCAATTTAAAAAAACTGTTTATCAATGTGTAAGTAAGGGCTGGGGATAGCAAGTGATGGACAGGAGGAGAATAGAGAGGGCAGGGCTTCAAGGTAGGGGTGGGGTGGTCGATCTTCGCCTGTTCTGAGATTTAAAAAGTGATCTTGGGTGTAAAAAGGTTGGAGACCACTGGTGTAAGTGAAACTACTATAGTTTGAGAGATCATAAACAAGATGTACCAATCCTATCTGCTGGCAATACGTAACATGTGGATATTAACACAGACTACAGGTTCTCACAAACTCCCACTAGATAAGTTTGGCCACTTTCAAGGTTTTTTTTTAAACTTGTCACCTGATGGCTACATAATAGAACTTAATAGAACTGTTTAAAATTTTTAAGTAAAATAAGATTTTTTCCGAATCAAAATTCTAAATTTCCTTAAACTGCTCTTTGAAAAAGGACTTGCCGTTTAAGTAAATAAGACAGATTATGCTGAGCTAACAGGGTAGCATATAACACAAGCAGAGGAGACAAAGTGATTAATTGCTTATCCATGCAACTAATCCCTTGCCCAATGGTTGCTCTTGTTGAGGCCTTGAGATACTGCAGGACTAATGTTAAAACCTAGAGATGTGACAGGCACTGGCTGGAAATGGCTGAATATTGCTTTCCCCCCTTCTATTCCTCTCCAAATGAAAAATGGGGTTTGGCAAAAGTTGGGTAAGTGGTAAACATAAGGCTGACTGGTTAACTATTTAGCATCCCTACTACTATTTCAACTGCCAGTTATTCTGAAGTTATGCACAGTTCTAAAGTATCTAAATGCCCAAGTCAGCATTTTTCAAACTTGGGTTGCGGGGCCACCAGGATAAGCTGCAGCCAGGCCTGCATTGCTTTGTTTACTTAACGTGTCTGTAGTTATAGAGCTTGCAGCTCTCCTTGGCTGTGGGTCACCATGTCTATCCAGGGGAGATAAGAGAGACTGTGGCTTTGGACACACTAAGTAAACAAAGCGGTGTGGTCCCATCAGTGGCTTACGCTGGCAGCCCCACAACCCAACAAGCCAGCTCAAGGTTCAAATCATTTAAAGCGTCCCATCATTCTGCCAATTAACTGTAGCCCTTCATTCCAATGGAGGTTAGACTTCTAAGCAAGTCAAACGTTCTCCACTACACCAGACACAACAGCTTTTCAAACAAAGATTGCGTGAAAACTTCAGTAAAAAAAAAAAAAAAAATGATTTCAGGTATGTCCATAAAAGAAAACAAACCAGAACAACAGGACACTTGGTGACCAAAGTAGCACCGGTTCCTTATGGCTGCAATGCCAGTATCTGTCATCCCTAAACTGTGGGGGCAAAGTTTGTTTGGGGCAAAGGGGGAGAATACATGCCTATCATAAGAACTGCATTAGCAAGGATTGAAGGATCTTGGTTGCCAATCCTCCAAGGTCAGATTATTGAAATTTAAACTTTCTCCTGAGTAAGCAGATGAAGTCTGTTCAGACACATGGCATCCTAATGGCTGTGTTGAGGGTCTCCCTTCACGAGTCTAATCTAAAATAAAGATTCTGCTAAGTAGCTGGGACCAGGATGGAGTCTGCATCTTGTACATGGACCAAATGTCAATCCTCCTGTAAACAGAGATGGGCAGTGTGCTGCAGAACCTGATGAGGCATCAAATGAGGAGCTGCAAGGGAGAAATGTGCCCTTAAATGGGAAACTGGAAGGTTGTGTTATTTCTTATAAGTAACTTGGGAGCTGAGGTGCCTAAGTCAAGGAGCTCTGGAAATTACCAACTACATCAGTAAGAGTATCCCCCAGGCCTCAAACTCAGGGAAGGGATTATTCCAGGCATTTGCTTACCAAGTTTTTAAAGATGGCAGCTTCTCTGAGCAGTAACTGTTTTAAAGCAGGGTGGGAAATGGATGCATAGCAACCCCCAGCCTAGCACATACACAGGGTCCCTCTTCTATGCTATGTAAAAATGCAAATATAGAGATTTACTAGCCCTAGTGAGTGCTCTGTTGACCCAAATCTAATTACCGTTAAATCTACCAAAGTCCTTCCTGCAAGGGCAAGAGAGAGTCTCCAGAGAGGATTCAAACTACTTAGATCAATATATATAGCCCTGTGAGATTGTGGATCCTATGTAGGTCCAAATTTTCTATCTGCAAATTTGTGGAGCTCTACTGACATAGCCTTATACTCTCTCTCACTTAGAATGTCATGACTCTCCTGACATGGAGTCTACTAGCATCACCTATCCAGAAATGTGGAAGTCTAGTTTGTTCTTCAAACGGGATGTCCAATATGGTAGTATATTAAGGGCTAGATTCGAAGCCCATTCACTCCCATAGGCAGGGCTTGACAAACTGCGGCAAAATCTACTCGCCAGAAGCGAGTAGCTTCACTGATTTGCCGAGCCCTGCCCATAGGAGTGCTCATATAATCTTGCTCTAATTTAAGTGTTAGACCACTGTGCTCACTCGAAATTCAACTCATTGAGTAAGCAGCCTTTTTTCATTGGTTTTCTCTCTGTAGTAAGAAGAGGGTCTGAAACGTAAACATGTGTATCAAGCCTGTTGTGAGGCTGAATGCCTGGACTAAACTAGCTAATATGAAGCAAAGTCAGGTTGTGAGCAAGAGGCAGGCCATGCTCACAGAATGTGACAAGAACTCAGCTGATAAGCAGAAACACATGCCTACATGCTAGGCACAAGTCATGCAACATATTCCAGGGAGGTACCAGGACAACCCATTAAGAAACATCTTGGTACCAACACACTCCCCCATGCTAAGTATAGGGTCAGGATGACAGCATGATGGACATGGCTGATTTGATCAAACCAACATGCATAAGGTTGGTGACAACTGGATGCATCTTTATATACATTACGCATCACTTCTAATATATCTCAGAAGGGTTATCCAGCCTGGGGGGAGGGGGGGGGCAGAGGAGAGGGGGGCATTGAAAGTCCTACCACTGACTGAGCTGAGACCACTGCAATGGGCACATGTCTTAGTGGTCTGGTAGAGCTGCTAGTGTAGATCTAGACTCTGCGTCATTGACAAACTTGGCCTGGTGCTTTCACACCTCACCTGATTTTGTGGTCCTTGGGGATTGATTCTCTTGGAGTCTGCTGGGCTGGCCAGGACAACAGCCAAACATCTCATAACAGCAACAAAACATAATTCAATGGTGACAACTGGATCATCAACAGCTGTCACTGTACTTGCAGCAAGAGACATGACAACTTTACACCTTTGAAAGTATGTCAACTCTGCAGCCAGGAGATGTGATTACAGCATGTGTAACCATATCCAAGCTAGTTTAGATCTAGCATTAAATCAAATCTAGCTCAAGTAATTTTTTCAGACATCTTGCCCTAATGACATAACACAAATTGCATGTCTTGTTTAAATCATACCAGGGCACTGGCAAATATGAGTTTATTGGTTGTAATTTTGATAAAGTTCTTAGCAAATGTACATAAAGGAATGTACAGAATAGTAGGTATATTTTAATTACTTTATTGGGACTGCTATCTACATACAGTTCAGTTTTCCAAATAGTCAAGGCAATTGCTTTTAAATATCTTAACATGTCAGAATAATATAAAATACAGCTGGAATCAAGGTACAATAGAAATATATACACATTATGGTACATTGAGTGCTTTAGAATACGGTCAGTCTCATCACTGGTAACTCTGGGTGTCATTCTGCTATGCTTTCAGACATGTCGAGGAGCACCTCGTTAAGCACGTAACCGTTTGTCTCAAATGAGCCTACTCAGGGTTCATTAGGGTGGCAGAACCCAGCCCTAAGCCATTAAAAGAAGTTGTGCCATACAGATACTGCAACACAAGAATTGTTAATCTTACCTAATTCAAGAAGTAACATATTTGCCTGAACTCCCTAGACTGATACAACTGTTAAGGCAGCATCTAAAAGCGGGGCTTAATAACTGCAATTGTAGTTCATTTACTAGTCTATGTACATACACCTGTGTTACAAAACTGAGAAATCATTGCACTAAATGGAGCCATAATACTGTATGAGTTATAATCTCCCTCTATTAATACTTCAAGGATCCTGCACTAGCTCAGCTACAGCGGCTAGCATCTCACCTGCCCAGTGTTAGCTCTCATAGGAGTTTTCAGATGTGAAACACTGTCTTCTGTCCACAAAAATATTGCTGGTGACTTTCCTTTGGAGGAACTCAGTTTTGTAGTAGGAAATACTAGGCTAATTCTTACTTCTAATGAAGAACATGTGTAAAGAGATGCCAGTCCCATTACTGTGATTTACACTACCTTTCTGTTGCACAGTATATAGTTAAGTGCTGCAATGCCTTTCAGCAGGTGTTGTCGTCTTGAACTTTGCCCCAACTGAATCAGATCAAATTCTTCAAATCTCAAAACCTTCAAGTTCACAGTTATTTATTTTCCAAAGCCAGCATTATTTATCAGTCTGTCAGCCCAGGACCAGTAATTTACTGCCTAAGCACTACCACTAAATGTCACAGGAAGATCTTGAGCTGATGTCAACTGGCATAACTCCACTGACTTCAGAAGCATACCAGTTTGTACCTGTTGAGGATCTGTCCCTGGATACAAGGGACATTTTCAGGTTTCAAGTAGTACTTCTGCAAAGCATCTGGGCAAAGTACACACTTTTTTGTTTTTTAAAGTCAATTCTACATTTTACTTTTTTCCTGTGGATCCCAATATTGGGAAATTTCCACTGTTATGTTAGAATTACAATTAACAGTTACTAATAACCTTAAGTAGCAGCATGGAGAGAAAACATATATCGCTTTAGAGAGAGCAACTATTCTTTGTACCCAAAATAAGGGCACTGCAGAGTCTAATGACTAACAGAGGGAAGAACTTGAATGTTACCCACGTTCAGATTTCATGGTAACACAACTGAGGAAAAAAATCACTTGGGCTAGAGAATAAAGTATCAATTAGCTTTCCTGGAAACTTGTAATATAGACTTCCGCAACCATATAGGTGTTAGGGGATATTTCTGGTGTGGAAGATGTATAGTAATGCTTTCCTCACCCACCCACCCACACGGAATGAAAACATGGTTGAGTTACTTCTTTTAACTAAGACTGCAGTTCCACGATACTGGGTAAGTCACTTGACCTTGTCAAGAGTCAGCTTGTCATAATGGGCAAAAAACCAAGCCTTAGTTGAAAGCCAGATCTATCCACAGTGTGACTCTGAAGTAAGCTTCAGAATTTCACAGTATCACTAGCTGTAAACTAGTGCGGATGAGTAGCGGATCCAGAAACACAAACAAGCATTCTGAACAATGGGAATGAGACCTCTGTAGCTTAAATCCAAGTTAGATACTCTCCTTTCTCTTTCTGCAGGATGTCAACCAAATATAAGAATCTAATGGAGCTTTTTACTTGACAGGACATGAACACTACAGCAGCATTCTATCAATTCACAGCAGCTCAGCATCAACCTGCATTTTTATTTGAACAACCTGGTCAGGTCACCACTGCTGACATTTTTAATTGCTTTGCCCATCCTTTCTAACACACACACTTGGGTTCATGAATGACCATCAACCTGTTAAAAATCAGTTACTCAGTGCAGCTAGTATTAGTGACAGCAGATCATAGCAGATAATGGGTCTGAATACTTGTGCTGTTCCAGATGTTTAGTTTTAGCTGTGTCCTACAAAGTAAGTTTCAAGGACAATGGAATTTGCCTCTGACATCCATACAAACCCTCAATTCTACTGGCCTTTATTATATTAAAGCTAAAGTAAGTAAACTTTCATCACGTCTACAAAAAACAAGTAAAATGGATAAAAATGAAAAGTGCTTATTTTCAAGTTATGATTCACAGATCCCCACACATCTCACAAAAAAACACCTCCTAATTCAGTTTTCACAAAGAGCACCAACAAAATGGAACATTCATTTCAGTGCTGCAAAAGCAAATATTGTTGGTATTTTCCACCTGGCTTATAGGTATTAAATGTTACTGATGTCGAGATGTCGAATCTTGTCTTACAAATGTGAAGACAGTGTGTGCTGGCAAGACATTTTACTCTGAAGAAATGTGATGGTGAAAGTTATGTGGGAATGAAATGAAGTGACTGGAACTTCTCTTCAAGGGATGTTAGTGGCACCAGTAAGGCAGTATGATTCATAATGCAAGACCAGGTAGTGCCTATACCACAGAAGTCCCTCATGAAAGGATTAAGAGTCTGCTTCTGGGGCTTTGGGAATGTCTGGTTTATGTTCCTACTGTTTGCAGTGTCCTGAACTCACTCAAGATTGCTCCATTTCTATGTGAGGCTGCTGAAAACTACATTATGACATGCAGAGCAAATTGCACTTCACAGAAATGAATTTAGGAACATAAAAGAACATATGTTTAGGAACATAAAAGTTCAGTACAAATAAAAGGATAGCATAATGGTCATTGCTGACTAAAACAAAGGGTTTTTTTTTTACAGAAGACTGTAAAAACTGAACTTGCGAAGTGCACAACAGGACAAGTTATTCACTCTGATTCTTACAAGGTCTGCTTCAGAGCACTGCAGTGGTAATGATCTTAGTGAGTATGGATTTAGATTTTCCATGAACAGGATGCTTATTCCAAAGCTTTCTATGTCCCTTGCACTATCACACTGTACAATGATGCAAATCACATACACCCCTCTACAAACAAACTTACATTAGCCACTGTACAAGATATGCTTGCAGAATTCACCTGCTTCTCTGCAAAATGATGCCAACACCTGGTTTCAATGGTGTGATAAGAGGGACAGTGTACAGAAATCTGTATTGGATGATGGCCTCTTAACAGCAGAATTAATAAATCACCCCATTCTCAATCTTCTTCAATAACAGCTGCCAGCCTTTGCTGTAATCCTCTCATGTCAGTAACTGAAGTGCAGGTAAGATACAGATTTTATACTTGTGATGCACATGGCTTATGCAGATGCTGATGTGAGATCCTTTTGCCTACCACGGTTTATGTCCTCTTCTATCAGGAAATGTTTTCCTTCACAGCGCTTCCTGGTGCCCCACAACCTGTGCTTTAGCTCAGCAATTCAGACCAAGCCCTGTCCAATGATCTGGCACCATCAGGAAATACTTGTCCATTGCTTCACAAAACCTGGTCCGGTATAGTTCTGGAGAGACCACAGTTGGCATTTTACCTTGTGTTTAAAAAGACAAAAATGCCACAATTTCAGACTGATCAGAGTTCACAGAGGAAAAAAATCAGGTTTGCATTAAAGTAGAGTTTAGAGCCTGAGGCTCCATAGCATGGAGTACTGCACACACAATAAGAGTGGCCAACAGAATTGCCAGGCCTACTGTGCATGAGTGTGTGGGGGGCAGAGGGAAGTCTGCTCCATGCTTCAGGAAGGAGCAGGGTTTTGGGCAGAAGGGAGGGGACTTGGAGCTAGTGTGACGATGCGCCAGGGTTCCCCTCGATCCTGCAGCCCCGTAGCAGCAAGAACAGACTCTGCCAGCCAGTAGAATAGAGAGGGTTTATTGCTTCTCCAGGATACAGCACAGCACAGACCTGATGTGGCTACAGGAGTCAAGGCCAGGATGCTTCAGACCCCTTGAAATGGGGTGCCTGGATCCCTAAGCTCCCAGCTCCCCTCCTTAGTCTGTCTCCTTCATGGTTTCCAGCCAAAGCCTGCCCCTTCCCCCACACACTCACTTCCTTAGTTCCTTTGCTGCCCTCAACCAGTCTGACCAGTTGGGTCTTTGTCCACGTGATCTAGGCAGCCCATCTAGTGCTCACAGAGAGGCCAGTAGGGGTCATCTACAGCCCACAGCATAGCAACCAGCAAGGAACTGACACTATATCACAACATGTGGATGAGTCCGTGGGAATCACACACCACAATATAGGGGGGCACCGGGTTACAGAGCAGACAGCATCCCCACTACGTCACAGCTAGTCTCTCCCAACCAGTCCTTCAGCACTGCCTATAGCGTGCCACCAGAGGCTTCACCATCCATTTAAAGGGCCATGGACTCTGGCTGCCACTACAGCAGTGTCCAGGAGCTGCAGGCCTTTTTGAATCACCAGGCAGCTGCTCTCTTCTCCCTCGCCCCGCCAGGTCAGTGGGAAGTGACATGCCCTCTACTATGTGAGGCAGAGCTGAGGACTGAATAGTCTCCAGTGTCCCAGCCACAAGACTTCTTCCTGTTGGTCTGCAGCCAGTCCACTGTAAGCACTTCCCCTCCGAGCTCTCCACCACTGGCAGTTTACTGACATTACAAAGTCACATGGCCAAATACTCCTTCTGAGAGGAACTCAGAACACAATGAGTACTGAGGGCCACATCGACATTGTGTGGGAAGGCAGTGGTTATAAAGTGCCATGATATCCCAGGGGAAGAGGAAGGGAGGTAGATGCAAGACAAGAATCAGTTCTTCTAGGCCCACAGAATGGGGGAATTTTCACAGAAGAGATTTCAATCCCAAAAACCAAGAAACAGCCATATCTGAATCTACTCTAAAGAGATTAGTTACCTCTGCAAATAATCCAGCAATAGATATGGACATGTTACTCTAAGACAGGAGAGCAGCAGGATAGGAGGTGACTTTGCTCCTCCAGCAGTATGGCTATTAACAGTATCAACCACGTTATGAGAACACAAGGCTCTTATGCTGAGCATAGTCTTTGGAATGAGGGACAAGAGTTGCAACATAAGTTTGTATGAGAGAGATGATGGCGTGTGGGGGGAGGGAATACTATTTCCCTCAAATCTGCCAATAGTAGGATACATAATCCGAAAAAACATGAAATGTAACTTGGTCTCACCTTGTCCTCCCAGGATACCCGTGGACTTTACCACCATTTCAAGCTTTTTGTCCCAGGTAAATGTGCGAATGTAATCTGTTACAAATACAGGAAGGTGTGTCATTAAGCTCATATTTCAAATACAGATATTTCTAGATAATTATAAATATATTTCTGGTATATGGCAGAAAACATCAAGTTATGAGTCTTTGCTGCCAACATGACAATTTCACATCTCTCTCACACACTGGCAGAGAAAATAGCTCAACAGTCCAAAGAGAACAGACCAGTTATTCACTATGTACACACTTGAAAAAAGTTAGGACAGTCTATATAAACAGAGTATATAAATTAATCTTCATAAGCAAAAGAAGGGAGGGTTACTTACCTTGTGCAGTAACAGAGGTCCTTCAAGATATGTGCCCCTGTGGGTGCTCTACTTCAGATGTCTGTGTGGCACTCTTATTTGGAGGCTTTTGGTAGCAGTGTCTGGTTGGGTCGCACATGTGCTGTTCCAGGCAGTTAACTAACGCTTTGCAACTAACTGCCTCTGCCTCTCCCTCTCCCCATTCCTCCTTTGCTGTAAAGACTGATTAAGAAATACTGAAGTACAGGGGTGGAGGGAGGACAGTGGAGCACCCACAGGGATATAAATCTCGAAGAAGCACAGTTACTGCAAAATGTGAGTAAACCTCTCTTCTTCAAGTGCAGTCTCTGTGGATGCTTTACTTTAGGTGACTTCAGAGGAGTGCCCTCCAATGGAAGGAGGAGGCTTCAGAGTTTGAACAGCTGGTAGCTCCCTCTAGGCGCTGTGCGCCCCGGTGGAGGGAGAAGACTTTGCGCACTCTCCTGCTCCCAGGCCAATCAGGACCTGAGGGTGGCGGAGTACACAAAGTCATTTGCTGTTGCAAATGACTGATGACTCCCCTTAGGTGCTGTGCTCCCATAGCAAAGGGGAAAGTGAGAGAGGGGGAAACCCCAGCCGCTATGAACAGCATCAGTCAAGGTCTCAGCAGGGCAGGCCAGATTAAACAACCCGGTGGGCCGTATCTTGCTCACCCCTGTTCTAGTGGAATGAATGCAAATCCCTGTGAGGGGTTGGCTATCACACTGAAAGTAGCAGAGTTTTTGCAACTGGAGATCCACTTAGATAATCTTGTTTAGAGATGGCACACCCTTTGCAGCATTCAGTGATAACTATGAAGAATCTATGTGTTTTAAGGAATAGTCTAGTCCTGTCTATGTAAAAGCCAGTGCCCTCTGAATGTCAAAGAGTATGAAACATGTAATGTCTTCTCTCTGGGTGGGTTTTAAGGTAGAATGTTGGCAGGTAAAAAGGCTGGTTGAAGCGGAAAGACTATTTTTGGCAGCAATTTGGAATGTAGTGTGAGGGATACCTTATCCTTAAATACCATGACACTTCCTAATTCTCCTGTATATCTGGCTGATTTAATTGCCATAGGGAAAGCTACTTTCATGGAAAAGTGGAACACGTTTCCAGTGGTTTGAATTGAGGAGAGGAGAGGGCTCAAAAGACCAGGTTCAGGTCCCATAGCGTGGTGGATTCACAGAGGTCAGGGTAAGAATTATTGAGTGCTTTGAGGAAATGTGGATCAAGGATGGTGATACTGGGATGCATGTCATCTGTTTTTGTTGGTACTGTGCCTTAAACAATTTCCATTTCAGGGCATACATGTGATAAGTTGTTTCTCTGTGATTGTGTAAAAGTATCTTTTGTACCTCCTGTCAACCACAAAAGCTGGCCAACACCTGGGGACTAAAGGGTTAAATATGTCTCCTGTCCCTAGCCAGGTATCTGGTCAGTCAATGGTAACGCAGATAGGAATTTCAAACTGGGACAAAGGAATTTTTAATCTTTTTCCCTCCTTTGTCTGAGTCAGAGCGGGTTCTTCCAAACAGGGAGATGGGAAGGCCTGTCTCTCTCCAAGAAAAGTCTTCTCAAAATGTGTAAGCAGGGAAAAGTTTAGTTAGCCCATAAGGTTTTACTGTGTTCTGGTTTGGGAATTCGGAATTGATGTCTGTGCTGTTTCTCTCTTTTGTAACTAAGTTTTGAGCCCATGGGGAGGTCCCCCATGAGTATATCAATTGGTGGCTCTTACCATCTAGCCACCTCAACTATGCTTGCAACGGTAGTATTGTGTTGATAATAAAAGTTTGTTTTCTTTTTTTAATTAATAAGTATTGGTTCATTTTTGTGTCCTAGAAGGTTTGTCTGTGTGTGTCTACCTGTCTGACAGAAGGGCAACTATCACAGGCTGCAGCTTGTGTTCTCTTTTCTCAAGCTCTTTTTGGGGGAAAGAGCTTGAGGTACCCTTGAGGTTTTAGGAAGGAGGTTTCCCAAGTGATCTCTTCCCTGGTTTTCTTGGAATGCTTGGGATAGTCCCCAAAATCTGGGTATTAGGATGGCGGGGGGGGGTTGTACCAAAGCCTGTAGAAATAAGGTTTTGGGGTACTTTTGCAGGCCCCCACTTCTGGATTTGTCATGTCAGAGTGAGGAACAGTCTTGACATGGTGGCAGAGCTGTGGGGTCATTTTGAGAACCTAGGATTTTAAAAGGACACAGGTTTTTCTTGAGAGTAGTTGAAAGCTTTGGAGGTTTCTTTTTTCTTTTGTTTTCTGTTGCTGCCCTGGGGAAAGGCGCACAGAAGGTTAAGCCAACACCAGACAAGTTTGTTTTTCTCTAGCTTTTGGGGCAACTGGATTGCTAGGCTAGAATAGGGCAGGGAAACAGCCCAGTGCATGCTTTTGCGGTCGGGCAAAGTGGCCCTACAACAACAAACCCTTTCCAAGTGACACCCTGAGGTAGAAACAGCCTCAAATCAAGGAAAGATGTCTAGCTCTAGGACAGATTCACCCCCCCAAGGAGGGGTGACAGGAGCATGTTCCTGCAGGCCGACCTCTAACTAAGGAAGAGCTGGAGCTCTTACTATGACTGAAGCAACTATTTGTGAATAATTATAGAGATGGAGCAAATAGAGGCAGAGACGAGGCAAGCGGAAATAGAAGCACATTGCTGAAGTGAAGGCCATAGTGGAAATGCTGAAAGCTAAGCAGCTGAGCACTCCAACATCACCAACTAATTACCCTGCTCCCACAAATGTTCCAGTCATTGTTCAACACCCCAGGAAATTCCAGACACAGAGAATGGAAAAACAACAGAGACTGTATCCTCCTAGGAGTTCAGTGTACAACCGTGTGGGTATGAGGTGTGATTATGGCATGGCAGATTTGTGTAATTGGGCAGATATTTCAACCTACCCCCAAAGCATTTATGGATGCAAATCTTCTGTGTTACCTTTAGCTAGCAGGGTTTGTGAAAGGGATGAGTGTGATTCTGAGAAGTTGTCTGTGGCTAGTCAGTCCTACTATAACTTAGGGGAGAGCTTCTCTGAGGGTACGTCTACACTACAGCACTAATTCGAACTAACTTAGTTCGAATTAGTTAATTCGAACTAAGCTAATTCGAACTAACGCGTCTAGAACTAAAAACTAGTTCGAATTAGCGTTTTGCTAATTAGAACTAGCATGTCCACATTGAGTGGACCCTGAACAGGGCTTAAGGATGGCCGGAAGCAGTGCCGGCAGGGCATCAGAGGAGGACTGAGAGCATGGAGATGCTGTCTCAGGCTAGCCGAGGGCTGCGCTTAAAGGGACCCGACCCCCACCCCGGACAGACAGTTCTCAGGGGTGCCCTGCTTGAAAACCAGTCCTGGCTTGGAGTGCCCGGAGTGCCCACACTGGGCACATCACACCACTCGGCCATCAGACTGGCTGCACTTGCCGCAGGCTGCCATCTGGGGAGAGGGAGCAATTGGGGGGCTGCAGGAGAGCTTCCACCCCCAGAAGCCCACAGAGCCAGCCCAGTCCTCCCCATCGGGGGCTCGTACCCCATTCCTCCCTCACCTCCTTCCACTTACCCTGAATCCCTCATTACTGGCCCCACACCAGAGCCCACACCCCCAGTCTACAGTTCATACTCACTCTCATATCTCAACCTCCTGCCCCAGACTGGTGAAAATGAGCCAGTGAATGAAGGGGGGACTGAGCAACAGAGAAAGGAGAGATGGAGTGAATGTATGGGAGCTGGGGCCTCAGAGAAATTGAAGGGTGGGGTGCAGCCTTGGGGAAGGGTGTTCAATTTCTGAAAGATGGCAATCCTAAACCAAAGGAACTGTGGAGAAAGAGGTATAGGAAATAGGTACACTGGTTCTGTGCATGTGAGGAACTCTTTTGTGCAAGGGAATATCCTTGCAGGGGACTTGTGGGTGGCTTTACCACCTGAGCATCAAAAAAAGGAGCAGATCCTAGTAGAGATCCTACCCTGAGCTATTGCCTTTAAACTCTCTGAAACATTAAGGGTATGTCTACACTACCACCCTAGTTCGAACTAGGGTGGTTAATGTAGGCAACCGGAGTTGCAAATGAAGCCCGGGATTTGAATTTCCCGGGCTTCATTTGCAT